CAAATGCCCAAAGCGTCAAACGAAACTATTACAAGGGAAAACATCCACCTTGGCATAAACACAGTGAACAGTAGCTCAACCGAGCTACACGCTCTCACAACAAACAATCACTCACAAAGACAAGGGGAACAGAGGGAACACTTATACACATACTAATTAGGGGAATGAGCACCAGGTGTGTGTGATTGACAAGACATGACAAGTGGAGTGATGAGAATGGGATCGGTAGTAGCTAGTACTCCGGTGACGATGAACGCCGAAACCTGCCCGAACCGGGGGGGGGGGGGGGGGGGGGGGCAGCCTCGGCGGAAGTCGTGACAGTTTCTGTGTGTGTGTGTGTGTGTTTGTGTGTGTGTGTGTTTGTGTGTGTGCGCAATAGATATATTATAGAGTCTTGTTTCAGTGTTTACAACAACATTTAGGCAGTTACATCAGGGTAAATAATATATATATGTAAATATATTACATAGTACATATAGGGTATAGGATATTATACATATAGAATTATGACTTATAAAGAACCCATACTGACGCTTGTGTTTGCAGTGTGTTAAGGAAGTGTGTGTCCTCATCGTAAAGAAATTCAGCAGATTTAAGACTGTAGGCCCCCACTGGTAGTCAGTATGGGAAGTTTCAGTATAGTGCTTAGAGAGTAGGCAATAGAATTGCTAGAAGATAGATTGATAAGGAGTATTATTTAAGGCAATAACATTTATTTGTTTGTTACTGGATCATAATAGCAAAATCAATAGGAATGTGCATTTGCGTATAATTTTTTTCAACTCCTGCCAGTTTTTAAAATCAGAAAATGGCTCTTAACATGCAGTTGTATTTCTTTTAGGTTTCCCGTTTTTTTTTAATTTTTTTAATCAATTCCTTTTATTGTCATCTAACATTCAGGAAAAGAGCATAGCTATCGAACAATGTTTTGGACAAATCTCTTTTGCCATTTGTACCTCTTTATGTTTTGAACAAGGGTCAATTCTGTTACTGTGAAACTACAACTCACTGCAACTGACTCACTCAAGCACTTGACCTTTGACCTTGTTATGATGAAATGAAATGTTATCATCCCACCACCACCTGGGGTTATTACCATAAAGCAACAAGAAGCAGGGGGCACTTCAATTTTGGCACTTAAAGTAAGAACAGAAAGTACAGTACATTTCTACAATGTAGATAGGCTGTTTGTTCCCATTTCTCTCTCTATCTCCCCTCCCTTAACCTCACACTCTTCTTTCCTTCCTTCCTTCTCTCTTTCTTTTATTCTCTCTCTCTACACACACACACACACACACACACACACACTCTACATTGGGGTATATCTTGGGATAGAGGGTTTCGACCGAGACTGTGAATGTGCTGTTGCTGTTCTCTGCTGTACGATGTGTTAAAATGCTTAGAGAATCAGGTCTGCTGTATGCTGCGTTGCCACACACACAGAATCCAAGTGCCTCACAAATCGTTTATGTACCATGCACATACAGTACGTAAAAGAAAAGCCACCAGGTGATGGGATCGAGCTGTGATATTGTAATCCAAAATAACAAAACCCGAAGAGTAGGTCAGCTGTCCACCAAAGAGAGAAAACCTAAAATGGCAACCAATAGAACTTTGTCAAGCATTGAAAACAGATTACGGTTCTGTTAACTCACAATTTCTGCTGAGAAAAAGTGTTTATAACCTTATCATTTTGGTTGTTTAAAATGGACACTTTAGCATGTAGATAATGATCTGGACAGTTTAGACAGAATGCTGTTCTAAGATAAAATAACAAAGGACATCTCAAAAAGAGGATGTCTCAATATTTTTGAAAGTATTTATATTTATGAGAGAATTACCAGAGAGAGAAAAGACTACAAATTTGATTTTGAAAAAATATTGCTTCTTTGTTGACTTCTTTGTCAAATAATTACCGGAGAGGTGTCTGGCTAGGTTAAAATTATACTCCATTGTTGTGTCAGGCACATTTTGTTGGACTTTTGGAATCTCTGGCGTGGAGTGAGATTTCATTGGCCAGTGAGGTAGGGAAGGAGATTTAGAAATGCTCGGACCAGATACCCCATTGTGAAATCACTGTCTATGAAGAGAAGTGCCTTGCGTCTCAACTTTTGTAAGAACATGTTGATGTAAATGTTCATTTACCTCAAATGTTTACAAAACTGTTACTGAATAAACTTTTTGTACCATATCTAACTTGTTGCCTGGGGGTTTTGTTTGGTGAAATAAAATAAATACTTTGGCTTCCCACAATGCAGAAAGAGATAGCAGTTATACTTTTTGAGGACATGGGGGATGGGAAGGGAGGGTGAGAGGAAAGGAAGGGGTGGGGGAGAGAGGAGAAGGGAGTGAGAGGTTGGGAAGACACACAGGCACACGGGTTTCACACTGTGATGAGGAACGTCCATCAAAATTTCATTTAGTTTCCTTTATAACATGCAACTATAGCTAACCTATCTGACAAGCTGTAACCAACACCAATGGGGAACAGTTGGGTGTGATAGTGAAATTCAAGATATCTCAGTCAATTTCAGTACCTAGCCCTTACTGGTTCAGTATTCATAGAGATAAAAATACACTTTGAGGAGGGGCCTGAGGGAAGTCAAGAAATGGATCTGAATCTTGGAGAATTGGGGACATCTGGAGTCAATTTGGTGGATTGAAAAAAAGATGGTGGGAAAAGTCTAGGAGAGGAGGATCTTAATCCTTGGAAGAGTACAGACAGCATATTCCATCCTTAGCTCTCCCTCTCTTTCTTCCCATCTCCCTCTACATACAACTCTCCTACTCTCCTCTCTCTCACTCCCCCAAACCCCACCCTGTACTGTGCTCTCCCGCTACATACCTCCCCTCCCCCCACATCTCCCACTCCCTCAGATCTCTCGCTCTCTCCCCCAAACCCCACCCTGTCCTGTGCTCTCTCCCTCTACTTACCTCCCCACCCCCACATCTCCCCGCCTCTCTCTCACCCCCCCCCCCCCCCCCCCCCCCCCGTTGTTTTATCATGGCCACACTAGTTCATATCATGTGATTGGCAGAGGATTGCCTGGTTAATCGCTGGCTATAGTTCCCCACTCGCCGCTGGCCTCCCCTGCAGGCCTAGCCCACTGACCCTGCTGAGAGCAGCACTTCCTTTATGCTCCTGAAAGCACAGGGGATTGAGCCCTAACAAAAAAAACTAATCGGGGTGAAAACTTTTTTCTCTCTCTCTCACCATACACACACACACCCTCTCTTTCTATCACCCGGGCGCAAGCCTGGCTGTGTGTGTGTGTGTGTGTGTGTGTGTTCATGTGACACACACACTCTCACACACACACACACATCAGTCAGGTGTAGGTTAGCTGCCATACTTTTCACTGTGACCCTTTCCAGGGATCGGGGAACACTATCGTTGCTATGCAAACATTAGCACACAGATGAGAAATTGGGTGTATCAGGGATCTGTCTCACAACATTGGTAAGGAGACACCAGATGCTGGGAAACTAGCCAATCACAGAGCTAGATGCCTATAAATAATTTTGACACTGAGCTTGTCCAGGTAGAAATTGACCTTTGGCACAGATCTAGGACCAGCTTACCATCACCTTAATAACCATTCAGGGGGAACACAAAACTGACTTAAGATCAATGTCTAGGGGCATCTTAGTACATCCTGCTCTGAGGGAGTCACCCCCCACAGCTCACTATGGAGATGAGGGAGGAGCATTCTAATAATGACTGGGCGCCCTTCCTACCTACTGAATGAGTGGTTGAATGGCTTGCGATGTCAAACTATGGTGTTCCTGGGTCAGACAAGAGGAGAAAAGAACAACAGGCCCAACCTTACTTGACAGAAGGGATACATTCATCTGAAATAAGGATAGTCCCATGTAGCTCAGTTGGTAGAGCATGGCGTTTGCATCGCCAGGGTTGTGGGTTCGATTCTCACGGGGGGCCAGTATGAAAATGTATGCACTCACTAACTGTAAGTCGCTCTGGATAAGAGCATCTGCTAAATGACTAAAATGTAAATGTCAAATGGATAGTATACCAGCTGTCATAAACAGTAATGACAGCTTATAACCAGTTTATGTGGGCTCTGGTCCACTATGTGGGGAATAGGGTTTTTATTTTACAGCTAACTGTCTTTTCTACACGTTATACAATACATAGGGAATAGGGTGTATTTTACTGTCGGGCATCTGTGTCTGTCTGGTTTCCAGTGACCCTGGCGTCTTTTATGTCATCACAATGGGCAAAAATGTGGCTACCGGACCATTTAGTTGTGTGGAGGTCCGTGAATGCCATCGTTGTCACATGACCAGTCCCAGACATCTCCTACAAAGAGACCATCCATCCCTTTTATCACCCCATGAACCCCTTCACTCCACTTTACCCCCATAGGATGTGTGTGTGTGTGGGCAGAAACTTTGGACCATAGACAGAGTGACTGAGTATGAGCTCTGCCCCAGGCCTAAATGTAATGAATTATTATATAAGCCATAAGCATAGTGAGCCTACCAGTACCACTGCCAAGTGGAGTAATACTCCTACTGGCATAGTGTTCCCGCCTTGGGAAGGGAACCAACATGCTGCTGTTACGAATATCAATCATTTAGATAGTAAAGTGTCAGCGGCAGCACACTGAATCTTCCCATGACATTGACCTTGAACATGTCTGAACATGTTGAACAAAGTGCGACATCAACATCAGCATCAGCATGCCACTGTGCCAAGCAAAGACTTCCCGACATCCCTGATCTGGTAAAAGTCTTTGTACACCACCTAGTGGCCCAGGGAAAAAACACAGCCACGTTGAATGGCTCACGTCAACTGTGCGCTGCGCGCGCAGTTATCGCCATTTTGAAGTACAGCCGCACTTCTCTGGCTGATGATTGAAAGGAGGCACGGTTTCTTCGTTTCTGAAATATTTATGCGAATTCAAAGCTATAATTTCAGCTAAAGTTACTGGATACATAAACGATACTTATTGTGAGGGATTTAATTCGCTCTAAGTATGGCTCACCGAAATCTAAAACAGGTCAACATTCAAAACAACGCACCGTCGCCGAAACCTCAGCAGCAGCAGCAGCAGCAGCACACAAAGCGCAACATGGACTCTCCAGCCATGGAGCGAAGGCCGAATGCTGCGGAAGGGAAAATCCCACCACCAAAGCCGTCGACGGCTACCAGCCCTCCCGCAGAGGGGGAGGGCGTAGCCGGAGAGTCGCTGGAGATGACGCTGGATATAAAGAGTTTCAGGAGACCCGGGGAGAAAACCTTCACGCAGCGATGTCGGTTGTTCATCGGTAACCTCCCGACAGACCTCACGGAGGATGATTTCAAAAAGCTGTTTTCCAAGTATGGCGAGGCTAACGAGGTGTTTATCAACCGAGACCGAGGATTTGGCTTCATTCGACTGGTAAGACTTGAGTTTTAGAGTAATCAGTAATATCGAACTCCGTGGTAAAGGAAATTCATTTTGAATGCTGGAATTTAGTCCGCTATAATATCAATAGCCTCTGTTTCCCTCTAGTTAGTTAGGTATTATTTATTACTCAGGCGGATGGGTCTGCCTTACCAGTTGTTACGCCTACACTCCCACCCGAAACCATTGATTTCTTGATGCATTGGGTCCCTTTGAAACATGTTTGAATAGATTTTTGGGAAACAATATATAAGTGACAATGCTCATAAATCAATTGAGTGCTTAAAAAACGTTTGAAAGTTTTCTATCAATATCACCTAACCTGTGACCTTGTCTTTTAGGAAACCAGGACGCTGGCGGAGATCGCCAAGGCAGAGCTGGACGGCACAGTGCTGGGGAACCGACCTATCCGGATCCGCTTCGCCACGCACGGCTCTGCCCTCACGGTGCGGAACCTTTCCCCTGTGGTCTCCAACGAGCTCCTTGAGCAGGCCTTCTCCGAGTTCGGCCCTGTGGAGAGGGCTATCGTTGTGGTGGACGACCGCGGAAGGCCTACAGGGAAGGGCATCGTGGAGTTTGCCAACAAACCTTCTGCTCGTAAAGCCCTGGACCGCTGTTCTGACGGGGCGCTGCTGCTCACCACGTAAGACAACCAACCGCTGCATTTACTCAGAGTTACCAGTTTTTAACCAAATGACCCAAACGTGCCAAATCAATTACAAGCTGTGTGAGTGGTAACTCCCATCTCACGTGTTGTCTCCAGGTCTCCACGGCCGGCCATAGTGGAACCCACAGAGCAGCTGGATGAAGAGGATGGACTCCCAGAGAAGTTGCTGGTGAAATCTGTACCCTACCACAAGTATGTTATACACATGATCTCATATTGGGAGTATTACTCTCTATACCAGCGTCTTGACAACAGGAGATCTATATCATAACCATTAGATGCCGTTCCCCTCACTGCTCCATAGGCAAGCACCATGGTCTTGTAGCGGATGCGAGCTTCAACTGGAAGCCAGTGGAGTGTGCGGAGGAGGGGGGTGACGTGAGAGAACTTGGGAAGGTTGAACACCAGACGGGCTGCGGCATTCTGGATGAGTTGTAGGGGTTTAATGGCACAGGCAGGGAGCCCAGCCAACAGCGAGTTGCAGTAGTCCAGACGGGAGATGACAAGTGCCTGGACCAGGACCTGCGCCGCTTCCTGTGTAAGGCAGGGTCGCACTCTCCGAATGTTGTAGAGCATGAACCTGCAGGAGCGGGTCACCGCCTTGATGTTGGCGGAGAACGACAGGGTGTTGTCCAGGGTCACGCCTAGGCTCTTCGCACTCTGGGAGGAGGACACAGCGGAGTTGTCAACCGTGATGGCGAGATCATGGAACGGGCAGTCCTTCCCCGGGAGGAAGAGCAGCTCCGTCTTGCCAGGGTTCAGCTTGAGGTGGTGATCCGTCATCCATACTGATATGTCTGCCAGACATGCAGAGATGCGATTCGCCACCTGGTTATCAGAAGGGGGAAAGGAGAAGATTAGTTGTGTATCGTCAGCGTAGCAATGATAGGAGAGACCATGTGAGGATATGACAGAGCCAAGTGACTTGGTGTATAGGGAGAAAAGGAGAGGGCCCAGAACCGATCCCTGGGGGACACCAGTGGTGAGAGCACGTGGTGCGGAGACAGCTTCCCGCCACGCCACTTGGTAGGAGCGACCGGTCAGGTAGGACGCAATCCAGGAGTGAGCCGCGCCGGAGATGCCCATCTCGGAGAGGGTGGAGAGGAGGATCTGATGGTTCACAGTATCAAAGGCAGCAGACAGGTCTAGAAGGACAAGAGCAGAGGAGAGAGAGTTAGCTTTAGCAGTGCGGAGAGTCTCCGTGACACAGAGAAGAGCAGTCTCAGTTGAATGACCAGTCCTGAAACCTGATTGGTTTGGATCAAGAAGGTCATTCTGAGAGAGATAGCAAGAGAGTTGGCTAAAGACGGCACGCTCAATAGTTTTGGAAAGAAAAGAAAGAAGGGATACTGGTCTGTAGTTGTTGACATCAGTGGGGTCGAGTGTTGGTTTTTTGAGGAGGGGAGCAACTCTCGCTCTCTTGAAGACGGAAGGGACATGGCCAGCGGTCAAGGATGAGTTGATCAGCGAGGTGAGGTAGGGGAGAAGGTCACCGGAGATGGTCTGGAGAAGGGAGGAGGGGATGGGGTCAAGCGGGCAGGTTGTTGGGCGGCCTGTAGTCACAAGTCGCAGGATTTTATCTGGAGAGAGAGGGGAGAAAGAAGTCAAAGCATAGGGTAGGGCAGTGTGAGCAGGACCAGCAGTGTTATTAGACTTAACAAACGAGGATCGGATGTCGTCAACCTTCTTTTCAAAGTGGTTGACGAAGTCATCCACAGAGAGAGAGGAGGGGGGGGGGGGGGGGGGGAGGATTCAGGGGGGGGGAAAATGTGGCAAAGAGCTTCCTAGGGTTAGAGGCAGATGCTTGGAATTTAGAGTGGTAGAAGGTGGCCTTAGCAGCAGAAACAGATGAAGAAAATGTAGAGAGGAGGGAGTGAAAAGATGCCAGGTCGGCAGGGAATTTAGTTTTCTTCCATTTCCTCTCCGCTGCCCGGAGCTCTGTTCTGTGAGCTCGCAGTGAGTCATCAAGCCACGGAGCTGGGGGGGAGGACCGAGCCGGCCGGGAGGATAGGGGACACAGAGAGTCAAAGGATGCAGAAAGGGAGGAGAGGAGGGTTGAGGAGGCAGAATCAGGAGATTGGAGGGAGAAGGATTGAGCAGAGGGAAGAGATGATAGGATGGAAGAGGAGAGAGTAGTGGGAGAGAGAGAGCGAAGGTTGCGGCGGCGCATTACCATCTGTGTAGGGGCAGAGTGAGTAGTGTGGGAGGAGAGCGAGAGAGAAAAGGAAACAACGTAGTGGTCGGAGACTTGGAGGGGAGTTGCAGTGAGATTAGTAGAGGAGCAGCATCTAGCCAGTATGTATGTGTTGATTTATTCACTTGCCCGTCGGTGTGTGTGCACTGTTCCACTTTCCCCATTGTCCACTTGCAGGCCTTAGTCTAGCCACTAACCCCTCTCCTCCCTGTCTCTCCAGGGAGAGGGAGCACCCCCCACGGTTTGCCCAGCCGGGGACGTTTGAGTTTGAGTACTCGTCCCGCTGGAAGGCCCTGGACGAGATGGAGAAGCAGCAGAGAGACCAGGTGGAGCGCAACATCAGAGAGGCCAAGGAGAAGCTGGAGCAAGAGATGGAGGCCGCCAAGCACGAGCACCAGCTCATGATGATGAGACAAGGTACACACCGCACACTGAGGAAGACACTCACTTCTCAAGGACAACATTAACATGTAACCTTTTCTGTCATGTGCATATTCAGAATTAGCAGACATACCCATAGGCCAACTTCAAGTGGTGTCAGAAACTGTCACGTGTGAATACAAAAAAAACATGAATAACAAGCCAACCCCTTTCTCTCAGACCTTATGTAATACCAAACAACCCATATTTCTCTCTGTAGTCTTCTCTTTCTCAGACCTGATGTAGTACCAAACAACCCATATTTCTCTGTCTTCTCTTTCTCAGACCTGATGTAATACTAAACAACCCATATTTCTCTGTAGTCTTCTCTTTCTCAGACCTGATGTAATACCAAACAACCCATATTTCTCTGTAGTCTTCTCTTTCTCAGACCTGATGTAGTACCAAACAACCCATATTTCTCTCTGTAGTCTTCTCTTTCTCAGACTTGATGTAATACCAAACAACCCATATTTCTCTCCGTCTTGTCTTTCTCAGACCTGATGTAGTACCAAACAACCCATATTTCTCTCTGTCTTCTCTTTCTCAGACCTGATGTAGTACCAAACAACCCATATTTCTCTCTGTCTTCTCTTTCTCAGACCTGATGTAATACCAAACAACCCATATTTCTCTCTGTAGTCTTCTCTTTCTCAGACCTGATGTAATACCAAACAACCCATATTTCTCTCTGTCTTCTCTTTCTCAGACCTGATGTAGTACCAAACAACCCATATTTCTCTCTGTCTTGTCTTTCTCAGACCTGATGTAATACCAAACAACCCATATTTCTCTCTGTCTTGTCTTTCTCAGACCTGATGAGGCGTCAAGAGGAGCTGAGACGTCTGGAGGAGCTACGCAACCAGGAGCTGCAGAAACGCAAGAATATAGAGATGAGGTACGTGTGTCTGTGTACCTCCCACTCTATTCTCTACTCCAGTCATGGAGAGTCAGAAGTGTGTGTGTGTGTGTTAAACCTTCTCTCCGGTTCGTAGACATGAGGAGAGGCGTAGGCAGGAGGAGGAGATGATGCAGCGCCATCGAGAGCAGGACGAGATGAGGCGCCAACCAGACGGCTTCAAGCCAAACTATGTGGACAGCGTGAGTTCACTGGACAGACACACAAACATGCACACACAAATAAACACACAAAAGCCAGACCGGTTCAAGCCTAACTTCATGAACAGTGTGAATACACTGGGATAACAAACACACAGCCAACGTAGACCTTCACATAATTAGTCAGTGTCACTGTTGCCTTCTCATTTCTAGATTTTTGAATACACAAACTCTTGCAGTGATCACACTTGCATTCACATGATTCTGCTGAGGGTCTGCGTTTATATGGTGATTTTGAGAACAGTCTCTGATATGATAGGGATTTTTAGGGTCCATCAATCATATTGCTTGTTGGGTGCTGAGAAAATATGTTCTGGCCTCTTGTGCCAAACAGTCCTACCACTCTACGTGCACACTGATAATGATCAAGCATACTAGGGATGGGCACGGTTAATCGAATATCAGGATATCTGAACGAATGTTCATATTCAATTACTTGAGTGTTCTTTTAATATTTTTTTAGGCCTATTTTAACAGTGAAAAAGCTTTGTCTATATTACGTCGTCCTTGTGACATTTTTACCTACAAGGAAATACTAGGACATTTGAAATTCTTAATTTAATTAAACAACAAACTTTTGAATGTAGTTTTTATAGTGGTGCGTTGAGCTACTGCTGTGCATTTATCCCTCCAGGCTTCCCTGACTCGGTATGCCATTTCCCCCACTTCAAATAGCAATTACAGGCACTCACCTAACAGAGTTTCTACAATACCTGACACAGATCAATGCAAAACACTCATCGGAAACCCTTTTTGTAACAGAATCAGTTCTATCACGGCGACAATCAGACTTCTCTTTCGCTGTTGTTGTTAGACAAACTACCGGAAACACAGCATGTCCGCTGTTTACCTCTGCTATTTGCATTTTTCGACAATAAAAATGTGATATTATTCGAATAGTAAAATAATTTCAAGTACCCACTACCAAAGCATACACGAATGCTCAAGTTTTCTTTTCAAATAGTGTCCCATATCACCATAGGAGCATATCTTCTCTAGGTAACTACAGATTACCATAGTGTACCATAGTCCTGTGTGTGAAAGTCTAATGAAAATTGATTATGGGATAGTCTACTACCTATTTAGTGCTATTCCTTATGCAAGTAGCATCTCACAATACCAACATGGCTCTAGGTTTGGTTTTGGTATCTTCCAGAGACTTAAGTTTGAAAGACAAAAACCTAATCTGAAATTGACCTCAAGCCACTTCATTCTCCTTCTGACGGGACTGATAGGTGTAAGCAGTGCAGTGATTGCTCAACCTAGCCCTCCAATGGGCTTAGGGTAGCAGCTGATGACCACCATCTTGTTTACACCCATCTGGTTTCTTCAAATCGGCTAAAACCAAAAGAGAAAGGCCTAGGGGTTTTCATATTGGTTCATTGTTGTTTTACTGTGGTGTTCAGGGTGACTTTCTCTCCAAACAGATGTCCAGCAGTAGCAACCCTTCTAAGCAGTGTATGCACAATACTAGCCTCACAGCTAGCGACATGAAACACCATGTACAGTGGGGAAAAAAAGTATTTAGTCAGCCACCAATTGTGCAAGTTCTCCCACTTAAAAAGATGAGAGAGGCCTGTAATTTTCATCATAGGTACACGTCAACTATGACAGACATATTGAGAAAAACAAATCCAGAAAATCACATTGTAGGATTTTTAATGAATTTATTTGCAAATTATGGTGGAAAATAAGTATTTGGTCACCTACAAACAAGCAAGATTTCTGGCTCTCACAGACCTGTAACTTCTTCTTTAAGAGGCTCCTCTGTCCTCCACTCGTTACCTGTATTTAATGGCACCTGTTTGAACTTATCAGTAAAAGACACCTGTCCTCAAACAGTCACACTCCAAACTCCACTATGGCCAAGACCAAAGAGCTGTCAAAGGACACCAGAAACAAAATTGTAGACCTGCACCAGGCTGGGAAGACTGAATCTGCAATAGGTAAGCAGCTTGGTTTGAAGAAATCAACTGTGGGAGCATTTATTAGGAAATGGAAGACATACAAGACCACTGATAATCTCCCTCGATCTGGGGCTCCACGCAAGATCTCACCACGTGGGGTCAAAATGATCACAAGAACGGTGAGCAAAAATCCCAGAACCACACGGGGGGACCTAGTGAATGACCTGCAGAGAGCTGGGACCAAAGTAACAAAGCCTACCATCAGTAACACACTACGCCGCCAGGGACTCAAATCCTGCAGTGCCAGACGTGTCCCCCTGCTTAAGCCAGTACATGTCCAGGCCCGTCTGAAGTTCGCTAGAGTGCATTTGGATGATCCAGAAGAGGATTGGGAGAATGTCAGATGAAACCAAAATAGAACTTTTTGGTAAAAACTCAACTCGTCGTGTTTGGAGGACAAAGAATGCTGAGTTGCATCCAAAGAACACCATACCTACTGTGAAGCATGGGGGTGGAAACATCATGCTTTGGGGCTGATTTTCTGCAAAGGGACCAGGACGACTGATCCGTGTAAAGGAAAGAATGAATGGGGCCATGTATCGTGAGATTTTGAGTGAAAACCTCCTTCCATCAGCAAGGGCATTGAAGATGAAACGTGGCTGGGTCTTTCAGCATGACAATGATCCCAAACACACCGCCTGGGCAACGAAGGAGTGGCTTCGTAAGAAGCATTTCAAGGTCCTGGAGTGGCCTAGCCAGTCTCCAGATCTCAACCCCATAGAAAATCTTTGGAGGGAGTTGAAAGTCCGTGTTGCCCAGCGACAGCCCCAAAACATCACTGCTCTAGAGGAGAAATGCATGGAGGAATGGGCCAAAATACCAGCAACAGTGTGTGAAAACCTTGTGAAGACTTACAGAAAAAGTATTGAGAAACTTTTGCTATTGACCAAATACTTAGTTTCCACCATAATTTGCAAATAAATTCATTAAAAATCCTACAAAGTGATTTTCTGGAAACATTTTTCTCATTTTGTCTGTCATAGATGACGTGTACCTATGATGGAAATTACAGGCCTCTCTCATCTTTTTAAGTGGGAGAACTTGCACAATTGGTGGCTGACTAAATACTTTTCCCCCCCACTGTAGCTGTCCCACATTAAACGTATATCATCAGTTCAGATGTCTGTTGTATTTACCTGGGGTTTTGACACCTATTTTACTAAAGTAGTATGGGAGAGGGACGCCAGCAAGAACAAAATACTGCTTTATCTCTGCTGAGTTATCTGAAGTAGTCTACATCCTATAACCGACAGCTTGACTATTTTGTGGGATTGTTAAGAGGGGAGAGGCTAATGATTGACAGACCTTTTCACCACAATGCTCACTTGTGGTGCTTGTTGAGAGTGTTCCAGAGGAGAGTAACTTAACTTCCAGAGAGTCCTCAGAATAAAGGTTTTCCATGAAGTGATAGGGAAACTTGAAAGTCACAGAATCTGTGAAAATTATAATGGCATGTCTAGAAATGGCAAAGGATGTGTCCTTTGGTATCTTCACTTTATCTAAGCACTTGACAAAAACACACAGGCAAAGAGTTAAGGAATCTGTCATCAGCTTTTTTAGATGGATTTTAATGTCTTTCATTTCAGGCCTAAGTCTTGGTCCCAATTTTCAGTACTTCAATAGTCTCCAGTCAACGTATTGATCATTGCAACTCTGTGACCATGGGTTGGGAAACATACTGACATTCTCAGGAAACATGCATTTATCTACCTAGTCCTTAGTGCACTTGTATTACTGCATGCCTGTGGATGTGATGTGTCTTATGATGTTGCTGCATAATAACTTTTCTTCTCTGTTTCTATTGTGTGTTGAGAGGCCATAGAGAAAGAGGACCGGCTGGAAATATCGTACAAAGCTCCCTCTGCTGTTACAGCCACCCTTACACTACTCTTAGCATTAACAGTTACAACTCATACAGCTTAACCCAAAACAACACGCACAATGATTAACATAGACCTACTGTCATTACCTTTACACAGGAAAGAGTCTTGGGGTGATGTTAGATTGGCGTCAATCTTAGAACATGCTCTCAAGCCTCACTCACACACATTTACGAGCCACGCCTATACCTAACACACACTTTTTGTCTCCCTCCATCTCATTTTACATTTACAATTGAGTAATTTAGCAGACGCTCTCATCCAGAGCGACTTAGTTAGTGCATTCATCGTAAGATACCTAGGTGAGACAACCACACATCACAGTTGTAGTAAATACATTTTTTCCTCAATTTAAGTAGTGATCAGCAAAGTCAGTGCTATTAGGAAAAGACTAGTGCAAGTTTTTTTTCCTGATGCTCCATCCCCTAACTTACTGCGCTATCGAGGAATGACAAACCGAAAGGGATGGTTGAATAAAACTCCATAAGACAAAGCTGAAATGCGACTTAGAAGTCAGATGTGTGGCAAAAAAATTGTTTCTATCAATTAGACACCGCTTTGTATTCAATGTGTCCTGTCATCCTTGTTTAAAGTAATCCGTACTGTTCAGAGCAGAGCGCTCTTGTAAAACATAGAGGATTACAGTACAGTATGTGTAGGTCTACTATTATTAGTGGTACTTGCGAAAGCTAAAGAACCCACTTTAAATATTGTTTAAAAAATAAAAATTAGTTATTATTATTTAGCACGCTACTCCTCTTACAGTTTAAGCTAGAAATGCCATTCAAACTTTAAAATGTGTAGACTGGTATGGATTAAGATGCTTGCATACTGCTTTTTTTAAATAGCATTTATACTTTTTAAGCTATTAAACTTTTGAGTCCTTTTTAAAAACCCTCATCCACTTTAATGGGATTTCTTCAACATTCTGAAGGTCCCATTGTTTAAAAAAATCCCAGTCTTCCAACATTCTATTCACAGTAAACAATGTGACTTTTGACACATCGGCTACTTTGACCACTTTCCCAAAAAGATACACAAAAACTTGGATGGTATGAAAGCTTACTCTACTTCTCTGCTTTTCAAATCAAAAATCAGAACAGAAATATATTCTACCAATCAAACGATACAGCTG